GGATATTTCAATGAGAATTCCTACACAAAGTAAAGGTTGTATATGTTGATCTAATATGCAAGAACAGAAATAAAAACAGCAAGATACAGGCTAAGAAGCTCAAGCATCATGGAGAAGAATCCGAACCTGTAAATTAATTTCCTCAACACAAAGCCTTGAGTTGCATATAAAATTCGTTGTACATATTCGGTAAGGGTATAGAAGATTGAAGTGTTTCTCATTCTTATGAGTTAGAGAAAGACTAAAAGGAGTGTATCATGAAGCGTATGGATGAAATGTATATTGAAAAGAACATAAAGAGGGCAAGCAAATACCTTACTGGGGGTACAATGTGGATATTAATAGAGCCATAGAGGTAGTTGATTGTTTTGATGGTAAAGATTTTATTGACAATTATCGACCAAGAATTTATTGATCAATTAATTTTTGGGTCCTATCTGAGTATCAGGTCTTGGATTCAACTCGTTCCTTTAACTTCTTCCGTTGAACTTATCAATCGGTTATAGTACTTGTAGTAGAGGAAAGGAAAGTCAAGATCTAGTAATGAACTTGCAAGTCACCGTGTACGAAAAAAAAAAATTCAATGCGACAACTGTATGAATATAAATTACAATACAAAAAACGGATTGTAATTAGTACTTAATAAGGTGGATTTCAAAACCTATCACTTTCAAGTTTTAAGTTGATTTTGGTTCTTACTTATTGGGTTATATACTGGAATTCTTTGAAGTGAAAAATTATTTCGGGATGAAAGAATAGTAATTTTGTATGTAGGTAGTTTTATTTTCCTCTTATTGAAATATGCATATATGTTTGGTGGATAGACGTTACCATTAGTAACAGAATTTGAATTGATTTTAGCCCTTTTATTAGCACGCTATACAAAAGTTTCGAACAATGAAAAATTAGAATAAAGAGCTCGTCAATACGTACCCTTGTTACGATGATAATAACGTAAACAAAAATAATGTGAGCCGTATACACGAGTTTTTAACGTCAGTTAGAAAGAATCATCTTGAACCAGTAAAACTACAATAATTTCTTTTTGTATTTCTTTCGTTCCGAAATTATTGTCCAGTTAAATTTTTATTTCAGTTTAAATTATATTAAAAATGAAATATGAAAATAGACAATAATTATAGGACAAAGGGAGTAACATACATCGATTACAGTGTTTCACTCATTTGGCGATCTAAGTTTTAACTTTTTGGAAAAAATTGTTCCGAAAAATTTATCACGTTGTACCACAGAGACACCCGGCCTATTTGTCCATCTATATGTGATTGGGGTGTTAGTTGTAGCAGCATTGCAATTATTTAGCAAGAAACTCGAGAGAGCTTACACAATAAATTTGCGGCATAACCCAATCCCGGATCCGCATCAGAGTTGGAGCGAGTTTCATATCCTTCAAGAAAGAGGCTAAACCAAGAAATCAAAGCAATTGGTCAGTAACAAATCAACCAAGGAAACTAAAAAAGATTGTAAACTTCCAGCTAATTACTACAACCCAAACCCCGCCAAACGTTGGAAAAAGGGAAGATCATAGAGATAATGTGGATGAACACGGGAAAATATATCAGTAAGAGACAGACCAAAAGAAAATCAAACATTGTAGAGGAAATTTAAACCTGTAAACGTGCTGGGCAAGGACGGCAGCTAGCTACTGTTTCTGAATATTGAAGAATTGAACTGTATTTTAAGCTTATGCGTTGGAGAAGGATTAGAAAGTAATTGAAGGATTGTGGGATGGTTTGGATTTTCCAAAAAGAATATTACTTTTTTCCCAAAAAAAAAGGGGGAAAAAAGAAAAGAATTTCTAGAGGACTGTGGACTCTGGAAGAATGAGGTGAGAAGCAAAGAATTAATAGGAAGCAAAGATTGTGAGAGCTGCATAAATATAGGGCTTCGAACTTGAAACTTATCTTTCTTGCTTTGAATTCATTGATCGACTGTACTCGGTACAATGTTCCTCTTTTAAAAAAAATAAAAGCTAAAAAAAAAAAACAAATAGTGGTTTGCAGGAAGCATGAATGAAGTGAAACGAATATATATATATATATAGAGAGAGAGAGAGAGAGAGCAAACAAAATCAAATTATCAAAATGATGACATTATTGATATCCAGCAGAGGTGGTTGGGTTGTCTTTAATGGTAAAATCATTATTTAGAGTCACAGGCCAAATTTATTTTGATCCATTAATTTTTCGTTCTATTCCTATCCATTTGAGCCATATAAGGCTTTGCAATCACCTCATTCCTTTCCTGGTTTCTAGACATGGCCACTTTGTTGTACTCTTGGCCTAGTTCAGCTCTATTGAGTTGAAAAGCCTGAATCTGAAGTGGTTGGAAATTCAGAACATTAATTGATGGTGTATTTTGAGAGTCGTCATGGTGGCTTGAAAAGATCAACAGGCAAAGATTAAGATTGAAAGTGAAAAAAAAAAGAAGTTTCTAAGGTCATATTGGAGATTATCAAACAATTAGTGTTCTGTTATTTAGGAAATATATACATGCTCAATGCTCATTCATATGTCGATGATCATGTCAATAACGTTATAGACCCTGACCTTGACTATTCAATGGCGAAAAAATTCTTCAGTAAACATTTCACACTTTTTGACACTATTTAAATGATTAACACATCCTAATATTTTCCTAGATAGATTCACTTACGGTTAGGATATTGGGGACAAGTGCCAATATAATGATAAGTGGCTAAGTGCTGAAATATGGCTGTTTCCTAATCAACTACTGGATACGAGCTGAAAGTAATCTTAATTTGCAGTTGCAAAATTGGATTAGTCTAACACAAAATGAATTTTTTTTTCCAATTAGTTGGCAGTTTGGCGCTAGTTGATGAGAATGCACTAGGTGATTAAAGAAATATAATCTAAGGTTTACACGTATGTAAAGCTTAATTACCTGTGTACAATTTACTATAGTTATGAACTTGTTACTTGTTACAGTCGCCTTGAAGACGATATTTATTTACTCCATGCGTAATTCATTGTTTCGCATGTGCATTGTATTTCTTGCCAAAATGCAAGTATAAAGTAATGATCCGAAATTCTAATTCAATTACTTCGTGAATCCGTGTGGAGGCTTAATACTGGCGTAAGTAAGCATGAAATATAACTAATCAGATGTACTTAATCTCTACGCTTTATCATAAGTTTAGCAATGATATATATTCATCTATTAATAATGAAAAATAGAATAGGCAGCCGCATTCGTCTGTGTGGTAAATTGGGGATCTCAATTTATTATTATTATTATTATTATTTTTTACTGAAAAAGAGGCCAAACCAACATGACAATCAAATATAAAGAAATTAAAAGGAATAACTACAGTATACTCAAAGGTTCACCCTACTTAGAAAAGCTCCTGACGATAGTTTGGAAGAACGCATTGAAATAAAACACGAGACATACCCAAGAATCTCACCAAAAAACCACTGTCACAATTTAGGGTGAAAATCGTGAAATAATAAGAAATCAAGAGTTGAAATCAAGAACATGGAAAAGTTACGGTTCTTGAAAAGAGGGGAGAACAGAGAACGAAGAAGGAGGATAAAATCCAATCTGGAAATTTCTTATTTTCTGATCAACGATATTGTTTACACTTTGACTTATGCTATATATACCACTGACCTGATTATCACTATTTACACATCGGTCCCTCTACTAACTATTACATCCAAATGAGTCCTAGGGCGTGATAAATCCACCACTTTAAGAAAGTCTTGTCCTCAAGACTATTTATTATATGAACTATGCCTGCATTACAAAGCACTAATAGCCAGTAATACAATCAATTGAAATGAACAGCAAACATCAAACAGAGAGGTATTCTATACAAGCAACTTCAGTGATTAGCCATAACAGCAACTGCAAGAACACATTTGACCTAGAAGTTGAATCATAAATAGAACAGCAGAACAGACACTAGTATTAAGCTGAAGAATTGTAAGTTTGTAACCAATATACTAATTTTCAGCTTGTTCAGAAATCACCCTAAAGTCAAGTCATTCACATCCACAGCTTCACCATCAATTGTCCACAAGATGCTCCCTGATTCTGTGTCCTTATCAGCATCTAAGCAGCACATTATATTGAATTCCCTCATTTTGCAGTTCTGATCATGTCCAGGCTTGTAAAGCTCCCCACATCTGTAGCACAATCCATAATTAGTCCTGTACTGAATTTCCTGCGGAACCAATTTCTTCACATAACGGTTTCCAAGTCCTTTGTGGCTATCAAACCTGGTACCACCATTTCCAGAACCAACTCCATTAGGATTACTGTCCTCCTTACCACGCTGATTCTCTAACCCAGACTTTTGATCCACATTCCCAGCTTTTACACCATTTTCCTAGTTTCCGTTACCCCTATCACAAACATTAGAGGGATGTAAAGTACCAACAGGATCACAAACCAGCACCGAATCATTTCCACCTTGCCTTGTGTCTATCAACTTGGCCTTAGACAAAATAGCTAAATTCTGCTCTTGGTACAGAGCTATCAAAAGCAGTTGCTAAATTTTTAGGGTGCCACATTTTTACTGTTGGCTTAATTTCTTCCCTAAGACCACTAACAAAATAGGAAATGTAGTAGGTCTCATCAAACTGGAACCTTAAATTCAACAACCTAAAGCGGAGCTCCTCAAATCATTCCTGATAGTCAACAACGCTACCTACTTGAACCAACTTACTGAATTCCTCTATACAATCTTGTCCCCCATGATTACCAAAACGTTGAATCAAGAATTCAAAAAATTCATTCCCAGTAAAGTTACTGTGAATGGACTTAATTCCCTGGAACTAAGTGTCGGCCTTGTCATCAAGAAAGAGTTCCAATGCTTCCACTTTTTTAGCTTCTGAAATGCGATGAAGCAAGAAATACTTCCGACATTTCCTCAGCCACTCGTCAGGGTTGTTGCCTTCAAAGGTTGGTAAATCTAGGCGAGGTTGTTGATACCACTGGTATTTTGGGTGGCCTTCCTATGTATGGTAACCAGATTCACCTCCAAGAACCAACTCATTGGCGCGTGGCCGTGTTTGTCTTCCCTCACGCACAGTGTTGATATGAGTGACTGTTGTCGGAACAAAATCTCTCCTCACCGGAATTGGATTGACCACTGGAGTTAAAACCCTTTTCTCTGACGATGATTTGGGCGGAGCCTTTGACGGATCGAGATCGATCGGAATAAGCGGCAACCTCTTGTCCACTGGAATTGCCAGTGGAATCGATTCAATAATTGGAGCTTTCTCCTGATTGCAATTTTCCGAAATCTTAATCGACTCTAGCAATGTCTTCTCCAAATCATTTCAAAACCTTGTCTCATTTTCTTCGCGTTTCTTGTCAGATCTTGCTTCGAAATCTTCAAAGAGACCTACTAATCTTTCTGTAAACGCCGCAAGTTCACCCGTCAAATTGCTGCGCAACTCCGCCACATTGGCGTCATGCTCCGTAGCCTTTGATTCGATCTTGGCATCGAGATCCCGGAATCGCTCTTCTAGGGTTTCCAATTGGACGGTCAATTCATCAACGCGATAATTTCTTGGCCAATTCACCATAAGAACTCTTAGACCTCGTCATTTCTGAAGTTTTCCAAATGAGAAATCACATATTTGGAGCGAATCAGAGAATCGAAGAACTTCGCACAGAATTCAGAATTTAGAGCGGAAGAGAAGAAGAGAAGAAACAGTCCAAGGAAATGGCAGCTCTGATACCAATTGTCATGATCTAGGGTGGAAATCGTGAAATTAGAAAGAATTAGGGAGGAAATCAAGAGTTGAAATCAAGAACAGGGAGAAGTTAGGGTTCTTGAAAAGAGGGAAAAACAGAGAACGAAGATGGAGGATAATGTCCAATCTGGAAGTTTCTTATTTTCTGATCAACGATGTTGTTTACACTTTGACTTATCACTGACCTGATTATCACTATTTACACATCGGTCCCTCTACTAATTATCACATCCAAATGAGTCCTAGGGCGTGACAACCACTCAATCTTTGAAATTGGAAAACATTTTAAAAATTTTAAAATTGATAAAATTTGTAAGGCCCAAAACTGTTAATTTAGTGAAATTTTATTGTAACATAACTAGGACTATGTGAACCGATCAATTTCAAAGGTTTTTTTTTTCTTTTTTTCCCTCCGATCTATTACACAAAGCAAGAAAGCATGTAATTGATAATATCATCTGTTTGCTAGCCTAGCATCAAATTAATGTTGTAACGCTAAGTGAAAAATCGGTAGTTTCTTTCTTATGTGAATTTCTTTTTCCCGTGATGAGTAAATCAACGTGATATAATATTTATAACAAACTCGTGTTTACTTTTATATCCAAAAAAATATTATCTCCGTCACACAAAAATAGTCCACATTGAGTTTTCAAATTTATATTAAAACAGTATAAAACTCAAAACTTAATGTGGACTATTTTGGGGGACAGAGGGAGTAAAACTTTCTATAGTAAACTCTTAAACTGAATTGTACCTATAACATCTTAAAGTCATATAAACATTTGTACCGGCTTACCAAATCCAATTGTAGAACGGAAGAAAGCAAATTTTCATTGTAAACAATATTTTTGTTGATCTTTTTGTCAATTTTTTTAACTTGATGATAAAATTGATGAGAGAGAATTTTGTTTGAAAATTACGTAGACTTTTTAGTCAACTTTCTTAAATCGATGATTAATAGAGGTGGATCAAGGAATTATAAATTGTATGAGTGGAATAGTATATTTCTCATTTAGGAGGGATGAAATTTCATTTTTTTTTTTTTTGAAATTTTGAACTGTAATATGTAACCCTCCTTTACTTTTTTTTTAAAAAAAAAAATAAATAAAAAAATTTTTAAAAAAAATTAAAAAAAAATCGGGAGGTGAGGCCACCGTCGCTAGTACTGGTCCCTTTGTTTTCGCTACTGATGATTAAGTCGACGAACACAACTCTCTTGAAAATATTCACGTCAGTCCATTCCTCTCCTTTTAACTTGATAATAAAGTTGACGAAAGCAATAGTTGCTAGAAAACACTTGCATGAACTTATTCGTCGTGTTTTTTTGAATCTACACATCGGATGAAACGAAATTCTCCTGAAACAAATTTTCTTTTCTTTTGTCGACTTTTTAAACTTGATGATTCGGTTGATGAAAGCAAAACTTCTTTGAAACATTACTTCGACCTTACATTTACTTTCCAAACCAGACGATAAAGTTAACAAAAACAATATATATACAATGTGGAGGATACAATCATATTCAGGGGAGTTAATTTATAACACTTACCATATACATATTATATTCTAATAGAGACAAAATCAGCCATTCAGCTGGGTGAGTATTGATTGAAGGACTGAAGAAACACTATCTCAACTTCTCAAGCTTTTGTGTTAGGTAAGAATTTTAAGAGTATTGAAGCTCCCAGAAAAATTTGTGGCATGGATGAAATGAAGAGGCTTAGGGTGAAATGAGTTTATAGAGAGTAGCAATATCAAAATGGTGAAATTAATATTTAATATCCTTTGGTGAAAAGTTTATCGACATTTTGAATAACCTGATGAGTATCAAGTTTTGAATTTAACTCTTTCCTTTCAGTTTATTGGTCAATTGTAAAATGTTGGGCCCGGTGTTCCCCTCAATTGGGCCAACAAGGAAACAAATAAAACCAAACCAAATTTGGCTTTGGTTTTAGGAAACAAAACCCACTCCAATTGGAAATTTGTTTTTAGGTTTTTTTGCTCTATAAAAGCAAGGCTTTGGCATAATTTTTAGGTGTGTTTTTCAGCCAAGAAGAGAAGAAAAGTTTGGGCAGCCGTGCATTGTTTTTGTACGAGAGAAAAAGAAAGAAAATTAGGGTTTAGTTTTCGGTTTAACTCTCTTTTGGTTAGATCCTTCCAGTCCTACTCTATCATAGGTGTTTTGGAAGAGTATTGTTGTAATCCACCTTTGGGTGAAGTCCTGTGTATCCACCGGTTGGTGAAGACTGTTTTCCCATTAATGTGATAGTGGAGATTTGACTGTTGTTACGGTCTCGTGGTTTTTCCCGATTTGAGTTTCCACGTAAATTTATGTGTCTACTTTACTTTATCAGTTCTTGAATTAGTTACTTGTTTGGTTGGTTGTCCTATTTTATTGGTAGTAGGAAAGGAGTTTTTCTTGAGGTTTGCTTCCGTGGTTCGTTGTGTTTATACCCTTTCCGCCACAACCGTGGCATCAGAGCTACGGTTCGGTAGTTGAGGTGTTACACCAATAAAATGGAAGAGTCATTGAGTACTGGTACGATGATTAAATTGACTTCCTCCAATTATCATATATGAAAGCCTAGAATGGAAGATTTGTTTGTATTGCAAAGATTTGTTTGATCCTGTTCTAGGGGATGAAAGTAGGCCAAGTGATATGACTGATAAAAAGTGGGCTGATATGCACAGGAAGACTATTGGTAATATTCAACAGTGGGTTGATCAAAGTGTGTGTCATCACTTTTTGGGAGAAACAAAAGCTAATGAACTTTGGGAGAAAATCCAGAATATGTACTGGAAGAAGTCTGGCATCAATAAGTCATCTCATACGAAACAGTTACCAGGTTAAGGTACAAAGATGGTGCTAGCATGAATGAGCACTTGAGTTCGTTTCAGGATTTGTTAAACGAAGCTGTGAATGTAGGTTTAAAGTTGGATGATGAGGTACAGGCTTTGTTATTGTTTAGTTCTCTTCCAGACAGTTGGGACACTTTGGTAGTGTCAATTAGTAATTCAACCCAGGATGGTGTCTTGACCTTGGATCAGGTCAAAGAGGCTTTGATGAATGAAGAATTCAGAAGAAAAGAGCAGAGTATTGAGTCTGAGTCGCAGGCTCTGGTGATAGAAAAGTCAGACATAAGAGGGAGAAGTAAAAGTAGAGGGCCACGTGATCGGAATGACAAGTCCAGGGGACGGTCTAAATCCAAGAAAGATGTCATGTGCTACCATTATCAAGGGAATGGACACTTTAAGAGGGAGTGCAGGGTTCTCAAGAGAGAACTAGCAGCGAGAAAAGGTAAAGGCAAGAAGGATGAATCAAGTGATGACAACACTACTGCAGTAGTAACTACCAGTGATGTATTTGTGTACTGTGATGATGATACAATTAATGTTACGAATCACGACAGTAATTGGTTCGGTGATTCAGGTGCATCTTATCATGTGACGCCTCACAGACACTTCTTTACCTCTTACACACCTGGAGATTTTGGTCGTGTAAGAATGGGCAACCAAGCCTCATGCGATGTTGTCGGCATGGGAGAGGTATCATTGGTAATGAATACAGGTTGTACTCTTGTCTTGAAGAATGACAGACATGTTCCGGATATGCGTCTGAACCTTATTTCCGTTGGTAAACTTGATGATGAGGGTTATCATAGCACTGAAGGTGGTGGCCGTTGGACAATTACCAAAGGGAATCTTGTTATTACTAGAGGAAAGAAGTTGAACTCTTTGTATGTGTTGAATGCAATGTTGAAGAATGGAGAGGTGAATGCGACTCACAATGCCTCCATTGATCTTTGGCACAGAAGGCTTGGACACATGAGTGTTAAGGGGTTGTAGATTCTTGGTAAGAAGCAATTTCTCCCAGAGGTGAAAGGTACTCTCTAGAACCTTGTGCTGACTGTATCAATGGTAAACAACAGAGGGTTTCCTTTCAAAATTCTCCTCCATCTAGAAAGTTCAGTCCTCTAGAGTTAGTTCATAGAGATGTACGTTACATAAAAGATAGGTCGTTGGGTGGAGCATTGTACTTTGTTACTTTCATTGATGACTATGCTCGAAAGGTTTGGTGTTTTTCTTGGAAATCTAAAGATCAGGTATTAGATGTGTTCAAAGACTTTCACCTTAGAGTTGAAAGAGAGACTGACAAGAAGTTGAAGTGTGTTCGAGCAGACAATGATGGTGAGTACAAGGGTCCGTTTGAGAAGTATTGCCGAGGCCATGGCATTAAACTTCAGAAGAGTATTCCGAAGACTCCGCAGCAGAATGGCGTGGCAGAGAGAATGAACAGAACTATTACCGAAAAGGTTAGGTGTATGCTCTCGAATGCAAAGCTGCCTAAATCTTTTTGGGGTGAAGCCATGCAGACAGCAGTTGATTTGATCAACCTATCTCCCTCAGTTCCGTTGGATGGTGATCTACCACAACGAGTTTGGACAGGGAAAGATGTCTCATTTAGGCATTTGCGAGTTTTTGGTTGTCGTGCTTTTGTTCATATTCCCAAAGATGAAAGGTCGAAGCTTGATGGCAAATCCAAGCAGTGTGTATTCTTGGGATATGGAAATGATGATTTTGGGTACAGACTTTGGGATCCTGTAGAGAAGAAAGTTTTCAGAAGCAGAGATGTGATCTTCTTTGAAGACCAGACCATTGATGATATGGGAAAAGGCGAGATGTCAGAATCTTCACCTGAGATTCCTATTAATCTAGATCCAGTTCCTCCACAATCAGATGATTCTCCTGAAGGGGGAGCTGAGACAGAGCAGGATGGTGAGTTTGATGATGATCCTGCATCGAAACAGACACCACCGGTTTCATCACCT